TCCTATATGTCTGAGTATTTCCCTATTCTATTCTCAGGTTCACCTAGCTCTTCCATTTAGTCCATCATAGTATTTTCTATGTCTGAGTATCGTTAACTAATATATCCATCTAGACATGAGAATTACATGCTTTACTTTTGGCTTCTCAATGCAAGTATACTTGGGGGATACATAGAGGAAACAGAAAGGAGCTGTAAAATTAAAATGTAACTTTTTTAACTAGAGCAAGGGAGTAATTACTGGCCTCCTCCAGGAGCACAAGGAAGTAAAGAACAAGGCTTTGTAAAAGAAAATTGTGTCACACCAACTTAATTTCCCTCACTGACAGAGTGACAGTCTAAGATGATAAGGAAAAGGAAATAGATTTCATCTATATGAACTCTAGAAAGACTTTTGATTTCATCAAACATGACACTCTTATCAACAAATTGGGAAAGTCTGGTCCAGATCATGTTGCAGTTAGATGAAAGCCCCACTTGACAGAAAGGCTTCCTCTAAAGTGGGAGTTGTGAGTCCTTCTGTGTTATTTAGACATGATTCAGTTCCCCTTGGAATTCTTTTTGGACACCAATATACTTAATAGGTTGCAGTCACCAGACAATATGTCAAAGTGGGAATAAGGGTAAGTGAGCATGTCTTTAAAAGTTGTAGAACCAAACTCAGATAAAGAAAAATTAAATTAAATTAATATATAGCATTAAAAGGTTTAGGCACCAGAAGGAAACTAAACTCAGTACAAGAATGATAATCCTGTCATAAATCTAGATTCACAGAATTGTAGAGCTAAATACACTTTTGGTATCAAATTGCCCATGTTCTCCATTTTGCAGAAGATTGCCAGCTCAAGAGAGGAAGTTACATGCTCAAGGCCACACAGCCGGTTAATTGCAGGACTGAGACTAGAATTCCTAGTTTGGTATTCTTTTTTACTACAAACTGTTACTATTGATTTAAAAAAAATTCTTTTCAGGCATATTTCACATATCATATAATTCACCCAAGTATACAGTTCAGTATTTTTTTGTAAATTTACCAAGTTGTGCAGTTATCAACTTTCAAGCGATTTTAGAACATTTCCATCACCCCAGTAAGATTTTTATGTAATTAACTGTTAATTCCTGTCACTACTTATGTCCTAGTCCTAGGCAACCACTAATCAACTTTCTATCTCTATAAATTTGCCTTTTCTGGACTTTTTATAGAAATGGAATCATATAATATATGTCTTTGTGTCTGGCTTCTTTCACTTAACATAATGTTTTAAGGTTTATCTATCTTGTAGCATGTATCAGTCATTATTTTATCGCCAAATCGTATTCTTCTATGTGAATATTTCATATTTTCCTTATCCACTTACGTTGGTGAACATTTAGGTTGTTTCCACTTTTGAACTATTTTGAATAATGTTTTTAATTACATTGTGTGTCGTTGTATACTTTTTAAGTTCCATAACTTTGTTCCCCAAATTGGGACTAAATTATCCATCAGATGTGGCTTCTCCCCCTACTACAATTTTTTTTTTTTTTTTTTTTGCAGATATGGATGGTAGAGTTCCCACAGACGGCAATTAAGGTTGCTATTAATGTTCTAATAAGTAGCCATAGGGGATTAAATCATCCACAGGAGAAAAACCTTGTTAATCTAATACTAGTCTTTTATTCTATGATGGCTTATGAGAAACTGTTGGCCAAATGCCTTCCATCTTCACAGAAAATAAATGAGAAGAATTGGATTTAAACCACAAGGGGAACAAAAAAACACTTCAGACGGGTACAAGGAGGCACATTTTATATGGCAGTCGATATTATCAAGTTAATTTGCAATATTATAAAAACAAAGTCCATGTAATTTTCTCTGAGAGAAGCTTATATGAATGGGTTTAAATCTGTCTAAAGCCAGATGGCCCCTTGTGATTCCCTAAAAGGAAGGCAGTTCTTTTGTGATACTTTTTCTGAGTGGTTAAAGAAGACATTTGGCTTTTAGTGTTCACAGAGGCCATTTCACTGTGCCCATGAAATAAAATCAGTTGCAAAGCTTTACACCAACCATTTGGTGTGGCAGAAGACAGGATATTGCCCCCATGTCCTGGACAGAGCAATGTCACCTGGCTACTATTCTTTTCCTAATAACAGCTAGAATAATCATTAGTCAATTCTAGAGTTGCATAATTTCCACAGTAATTTCACATCTAATTTTTTTTAACTTTACATTTGAGCTCTCAGTAGTTTCTACAATTATTAGTGAGAGAGACTCCGCTGCATAGCAGTTCAAAGCCCTTTCCAAACTGATCCCATCTTATTGATCTCTCTTTAGCTCTCATCACTCCTAGCAATAGAGTCTTATCGCATCGTGCTATTCACCATCTCTTGAATACCTCATATCCTTTAGCTCCTCTGTATTTTTGTTATACTGTGCTTTTATATCCCTTATCTATTTTGAGAACTCTGACTCAACCTCTGGTCAGGCCTACATATTATATCTTCTATAGGTAAATGTTCTCATTTCCTTTGCCTCATTAGAATTCACTGATCCCTTTTTGGGTGCCCATACTGGTTTGGTATCACAGGACAATGTATTTGCTGCATGACCTTGGATAAGTAGCTTAACTTTTCTTGAGTTTTTCTTACCTTATCTGAAATACATTTGTATCTTTCAGAGGAATTCAATGAAACCTAAATACTAAACCATATTATATACAAATATAATAGATTAGTATTAATAGTAAGAATATAAACATAGACTTCAGATTATAACTATACCAGTTTCCTTGATTCTTGAGCACAACCATCCTGCTTTATTCACCTTTGTAACCTAACCACTGAGTCCAAGTCCTGATACATAATAAATCAGATTGAATCATTAGAAGTAAGCAACGGAGATACTATTGTTATCATTTTGCATTTGAAATTGAGACCCCAAATGCTAAGTGATATAATGACTTAATTATTAAGTCCTAACCACTTTTCCTCAAGTTCACCGACGAAATTTTCAACAACCTCTGGACTTATAATCTGACTTGTAACTAGTATTAAAGGTAGGATTTCTGAAAGTATTGTCTCGGACTACCTGTTACAGACTGACTTCTGAAGATGCTTCTTAAAAATGTAAAATCAAATCTCAAAAATGTCATGTTGGGGGAGAAAAGCCAGACACATAAAACCAGAAATGAAAGAGAAGACATTGCTGCCAATTTCACAGAAATAAAAAGGATAATAAGTGAGTACTATGAACAACTGTATGCCAACAGATTGCATAAGCTAGATGAAATTGTCAAATTCCTGAAAACACACAACCTATCAAGACTAAATCATGAAGAAGTAAAACATATAAATAGACCTATAACTAGCAAAGATATTCAATCAGTAACCAAAAACCTCCCAACAAAGAAAAGCCCAGGACCAGTTGGCTTCACTGGAAAATTCTACCCAACATTGAAAGAAGAACTAACACCAGTTGTTTTCAAATTCTTCCAAATAATTAAAGAACAGGGAATACTTTATGATTCATTCTGTGAGGCCAAAGTCAGATAAAGACACTAAGAGAGAAGAAAAGTACAGACCAATGTGTCATATGAATATGGATGCAGAAGTCATCAACAAAATACTAGCAAACAGAATTCAATAGCACATTAAAATTATTATATACCGTGTTCAAGTGGGATTTCTTTTTGGAATGCAAGATGTTCAGTATAAGAAAATCAATTAATGTAACACAGCGTATTCTCAGAATGAAGGGGGAAAATTACCTGATCATCTCAATGGATGCAGAAAATACATTTGACAAAATTTGTTACTCTTCCATGATAAAAACACAAACCAACTAGAAGGAAAGTATCCCAACATAATAAACACATAAATACCATATATGAAAAGTTCATAACTAACATTATATTCAGTGATGAAAGAATGAAAGCTTTTCCTCTAAGATCAGGAATATGACTAGGATGCCCACTCTCATGCTTCTACTCAACATGGTACTGGAAATCATCACCAAAACAGGCAAGAAAAAGAAATAAGAGGCATATGAATTGGAAAGGAAGAAGTAAAATTATCTCTGTTAAGAAATGATATAATCTTAGTTGCAGAAAACCCTACGGATCCCCCCCGCCAACACACGCACATACAACAAACAGCACCAATTAAGGGACTTAACAGTGTTACAGGATATAAAGTCAACACACAAAAACCAGTTGCATTTGTACACCAACAATGAACAATCCTGAAAATGAAACTAAGAAAACAATTCCATTACAATGGCTTAAAAAAAATACTTAGGAATAGACTTAATGAAGGAAGCTAAAGACTTGTACACTGAAAACTACAAAGCACTGCTAAAAGAAATTAAAGAAGAGACAAATAAATGGAAAGATATTCCATGTTTATGGATTAGAAGACAATATTGAGTCAGTGCTCCCCACCGTGATCTACAGATTTAAAGCAATCCTTTTTCAAAGTCCCAATTTTTTTTACAAAAATAGAAGATTCCATCCTAAAATCCATAGATGGATTCAAGAATTCATCCTAAAATCCACCCTGAAATTCAAATTCAAGGAACCCTGAATAGCCAAAACAATCTTGAAAAAGAAAAACGAAGTTGAAAGCTTTGTTGTGTGTTTTTATCATGACATTGCCTCATTTCAAACCTTACTACAAACCTACAGTAATCAAAACAGTGCAGCACTTGTTTCAATAAAGACATATAAGCCAATGGAATAGAATAGAAAACCCAGAAATAAACTTTTATGTATATGGTCAAATGATTTTCAACAAGAGTGGTCTTGGCCATTCTTGGTAAATTATATATCCACATACATGTGGATATATAATTTTCCCAGCCCCATTTGTTGAAAACACAATCTTTTCAACAAATGGTGCTGGGTAAATTATATATCCACATGTAAAAGAATGAAGTTGGACTCTTACCTTACACTACACAAAAGTTAATTCAAAATGGATCAAAGATCTAAACATAAGAGCTGAAACTATAAAACTCTTTGCTGAAAACAGAGGAAAAGCTTCATGACTTTGGATTTCTCAATGATTTCTTGAATATTACACCAAAAGAAAAAATAGCCAAAGAAAAATAGATAAATTGGACCACATACAAATTTTAAACTTTCGTGCATCAGATGACACTAACAACAGAGTGGAAAGGTAACCTACAGAATGAAAGAAAACTTTTACAAATTATATATCTGATAAGGGGTTAATATCTAGAATATTTAAAGAACTCCTGTAACTCAACAGCAATACAAACTACACAAGTAACCAGATTTTAAAATGGATTTAAATAGACATTTTCCCAAAGATCTTCTTTGACCAGTAAATATTAATACATTAAAAGATGTTCAACATCATTAATCATTAGGGAAATGCAAATCAAAACCACAGTGTTATACCACTTTACACCTATTAGGATGGTTATTATTAGAAAAAAAAACAACACCAAAATAGAAAATAACAAGCGTTGGCAAGGATATGGAGTAATTGGAACTCTTGTGTTGTGTGTTGCTGGTAGGGACGTAAGCGGTATGATCAATATGGAAAACCTGTACGGTAGTTCCTTAAAAATATAAAAATAGAATTATCATATGATTCAGCAATTCTACTTCTTGGTATATATCCAAAATAATTGAAAGCAAAGACTCAAACAAATATTTGTATATGCATGTTCGTAGCAGCATTATTCACAGTAGCTTAAAAACCCAAATATCCACCAGTGGGATAATGGAAAAACAAAATGGGTATATTCATGCAATACAATATTATTCATCATTAGAAAGGAAGAGGATTCTGACAGATGGTACAACGTGGATGAATCTTGAAGAAATTATACTAATTGAAGTAAGCAAGTCGCAAAAGAACAACTACTGTATTATTAAACTTATATAAGGTATACAGAGTAGTCAAATCACAGAGATAGAAAGTAGAGTGATGGTTACCAGAGGTGGGGGAAGGGGAGAATGAGAGTTAAAGGGTATAGTTTCAGTTTTGCCAGCTGAAAAAAGTACTGAAGATAGATAGTGGTGATGGTTGCATAATGCAAATATACTTAATGCTACTGAACTGTATACTTAAAAATGGTTACAATAGTAGATTTTATCACAATTTTAAAATGTTTAAAATTTTTACAATGAAAAAGGAAGACACAAAAGAGTCTGTACTGTCTGATTTAATTTATTTAAACTGCGAAAATAAATCTATGGTGTTAGATGTCAGGACAGTGGCTATCCTTGGAAGAGGGAAGTAACTGGAAAGAAGTATGAAAAGGCTTCAAGTGTGCTGGTGATGTTCTATCTCTTGATCTGGATGCTCTAACATGGATGTTCAGTCTGTGAAATTCTTTGAGCTATCTGTTTATGATTTATATTATACCTTTTTCTATATGAATATTATACTTCAGAAAAGATTTTAGCAGTGTCAATCACGGACCCCACAGCAGACCTATGGAATCAGAATCTCTGGGAATGGGAACTCAGGGCCTTGCATTTTAAAAATCTCTTTTCTACGTTTTTCTTAAGGCTATTGGATTTTGAGAATCTTTGCTAAGGGAAGAGGATTAGATAAATATTCTTCCAGTGCCCCAGATTTCTTCAATTCTATCCTAACAATAAGTATTTGCTGGAAAAGAAATTTTTGATTTCCTTAAGTCATTTACCTTCTTCCTGTTAGGAAAATGCACATATTTTGTAGGTGCTAAGACAGAGGACTAAGAAATCAATGACATAAAAATGCATAGTTTAATATTTTTTCTTTGAAACTATTATCCTAAGCTGTCATACATACTATAATTTATGAATATCGAAAAGAGTGAAAACAGTTTTATTGAGGCTCTGTAAAATATGGCAGGTGCTAGGACCTCATGGAACTCAGTATCTTCAGTAGAATGTGAAACATCACATCATGGGGCGTGGTGCAGTGTGAGCAGGTAAAGAAAAGCCAGTTCTTCCACATATAAATGACTTGAACTCCATTTCATCTGTTTTCATACCATCTCCAAGATTTCAGCAGCTTTCACATTTGCTTGTTAAACTGAAAGCATGTTTCTTGCAAAGGCTCTATTGGAAGGAGCAGATCGAGGTCTTGGAGAAGCTCTTGGAGGCCTCTTTGGAGGAGGTGGGCAGAGAAGAGGAGGAGGAGGAGGAGGAGGAAATATTGGAGGGATAGTTGGAGGAATTGTGAATTTTATCAGTGAGGCTGCAGCAGCTCAGTATACTCCAGAACCACCTCCTCCCACTCAGCAGCATTTCACCAATGTGGAAGCCTCAGAAAGTGAGGAAGTTAGGCGATTTCGGCAGCAATTTGCACAGCTGGCTGGACCAGACATGGAGGTGGGTGCCACTGACCTGATGAATATCCTCAACAAAGTCCTTTCTAAGCACAAGGATCTGAAGACCGATGGTTTTAATCTCGACACCTGCCGGAGCATTGTGGCTGTCATGGACAGTGACACAACTGGGAAGCTGGGCTTTGAAGAATTTAAGTATCTGTGGAACAACATCAAGAAATGGCAGTGTGTTTATAAGCAGTATGACAGGGACCATTCTGGGTCGCTGGGAAGTTCTCAGCTGCGGGGAGCTCTGCAGGCAGCAGGCTTTAAGCTAAATGAACAACTTTACCAAATGATTGTCCGCCGGTATGCTAATGAGGATGGGGATATGGATTTTAACAATTTCATCAGCTGTTTGGTCCGCCTGGATGCCATGTTTCGTGCCTTCAAGTCTCTGGATAGAGATACAGATGGCCTGATTCAAGTGTCTCTCAAAGAATGGCTGCAGTTAACCATGTATTCCTGAAGTGGGCACTGAGAAGTCAAGACCCTCCCTGAAGGACTGTAAGCCTTGCCATGCTGTACACAGTTGCTGATACCCTGTGCAACAGCTGTCATTTCCCGGCGAGCTCTTTCACAACCCTAGATATTTCTGATCATGCGCTGCCTTTTACTGCTGAATTAAAACAGATATTTCATGAAAAATGTTCTGAGTGGTTTGTATATCAGCTTTTTGAGATTTGGATTTATATGGACTTACATATATATGATGGGGAGGGTGTGGGATAGAGTTCTAATGGAGTAGATTTTAAAAGGTGTTGCTTATTTGGTGAATAAATTTTAAGGAGTAGAAACTTTATCGTTGTTGTTATTGTTGTTAAGAATGATTTCAAAAAAAATCCTGTAATAAATCAAGAGAGCCCTCAGGAGATACATTTTTCTTTTTAAAAAGTTGAGGAGAGAAGGTCAAAATCAGTTTTTCTTGTAATTTTATACCTGATCTTTCCATTATGCAAAAAAATGAAGCGCTTTTTAGGAAACACATTTAACTGTAAAGAAACAGGTTCAGATAGTTAAATTAAGCAGTTTTACATAAGGGTAGCATTTTTTTGAATGATGGAGCTACTATCTAAAATTCTAAAGTTCTTTAATTCTGTTTCTTTAGTAAAAAAAAACAAAAAGCACATGGCAATTTTATTTTGTTTTGATACATTTGTAAAGAGAATTAAAGACACTGGGGAATAAGACAGTATACTCATAGTTCAAAAATGGCTCTCACTGCCTTCATGAATCAGAATGTTTGCTCTTACACATACTTCATACAAAACCAGGCATGCCCTGCCAATGTTAGCCAGCTCTTGTCATGTCTTGTCCTGCCTTAGAACAAGGAAAATTCTTTTGTTCATCTTTGAAAACTACAGGCAGGAAAAAACAGGAAACAAAGGAAAAAAAAAAGAAAAGAAAAACATATGAACAGTAATCAGTTCAATGGAATGTAAAGCAATATAGAGAACACATATTGCTGACTATTGCAGTTGTTCTCAGCCCTGGCTGCAATTTGGAATCACTGGGAGAGCTCTTTAGGAATACTAACACTTGAGTCTCACTCCTAATATGTTAAATAAGACTCTTTAGAGGTGGGGCCCAGAGATGAATATTTTTAAAGCTCCTCAAGTGATTCTAATAATTAGCCAAGGTTGACAGCCTTGATTGCTTTAAAGCAGGGCTGCCTCACAGTATTTTTCAAGCCTGTCTCAGCCAAAACTGAGGCCAAGCAGGAGAGTCAATGTTGCCAGCATTCAGAAGAAGGAAGATAGAAATACCACGAAACTGCCACCCAAAAGCTGGAGTAGTTGTGCCTTTCTTGTGTACAGACCTTGGTTTGGCTCTATAATTTTGATAACAGGCTATTACAGCTAAGCAAACAGAATCCTGAATCCCTGTGCCAGTAGACACAGCTAGAGAGGCTGCATTTGTAAGTGCTCTGTTCCTCTGCCTGCTATTTAATTGGTCTCTACGCCATCTTCTCTGATTTTTAATGCATTGTCTCTATCCCAGGCTACTTCAGAGGGTCATCTCGAGATTACAGATAAGTTCTTCCTTCCTCTTTGGACTCATTTAGAAGAAAGTTGCAACTATGGAAATGATGTAACTAGCCTGTTAACATCCCTCAGCTTCCTGTTAGAAATCCCCAGTGACATCTGGAGAGGTTGGCATTTGGCCTTTGTGTTCACCATCATCACCATCATCTAATATTTATGAAACACAACACACATAAAATTCTGAACTGAGCCAAGCACGGAGATCACATCCACTTTCCTCAGGGGGCTTATAATTTAACCTTGGTCTGGTATGCTACTTAGACCAGGTGTAGTTACATAAGAATGAGGCTGCTGCCAGGAACCACACATTAATATCAATCTCTCTATTTTAGAGTAAGTCCAGGAATATGTTAGGCATGGATTTAGTAAAGTAGCCAAGAAAGGGGATTGCTGCCAAACATCTTTTAAGGTCTCAGAATATTAGATTTATAATTTAACCTTTCCACAGGATGGTTGTAGAAAGAACAAGGTAACCACATTTTTTTTTATTATACTTTAAGTTCTGTGGTACATGTGCAGATCATGCAGGATTGTTATATAGGTATACACATGCCGTTGTGGTTTGCTGCCTCCATGCCCCCTTCACCTACGTTAGTTATTTCTCCTAATGTCATTCCCGCCCCAACCTCCCCACTCCCTGCTATCGATCCCCTAGCCCCCCAACAAATCCCCAGTGTGTGATGTTCCCCTCCCTGTGTCGATGTGTTCTCATTGTTCAACACCCACTTATGAGTGAGAACATGCAGTGTTTGGTTTTCTGTTCTTGTGTCAGTTTGCTGAGAATGATGGTTTCCAGATTCATCCACATCCCTGCAAAGGACATGGACTCACCCTTTTTTATGGCTGCATAGTATTCCATGGTGTATATGTGCCACATTTTCTTTATCCAGTCTATCCTTGATGGTCATCTGGGTTGGTTCCAAGTCTTTGCTATTGTAAACAGTGCCACAATGAACATACGTGTACATGTATCTTTATAATAGAACGATTTATAATTCATTGGGTATATACCCAGTAATGGGATTGCTGGATCAAATGGTATTTCTATTTCTAGATCCTTGAGAAATCACCACACTGTCTTCCACAATGGTTGCACTAATTTACACTCCCACCAACAGTGTAAAAGCGTTCCTATTTCTCCACACCCTCTCTAGCATCTGTTGTCTCCAGATTTTTTAATGATCACCATTCTAACTGGCATGAGATGGTATCTCAATGTAGTTTTGAGTTGCATTTCTCTAATGACCAGTGATGGTGAGCATTTTTTCATATGTTTGCTGGTGACATAAATGTCTTCTTTTGAAAAGTGCTTGTTTGTATCCTTCACCCACTTTTTGATGGGGTTGTTTGTTTTTTTCTTGTAAATTTGTTTTAGTTCTTTGTAGATTCTGGATATTAGCCCTTCATCAGATGGGTAGCTTGCAAAAATTTTTTTCTATTCTGTTGGTTGCCAGTTCACCCTAATGATTGTTTCTTTTGCTGTGCAGAAGCTCTTAAGTTTAATTAGATCCCATTTGTCTATTTTGGCTTTTGTTGCCATTGCTTTTGGTGTTTTAGCCATGAAGTCCTTGCCTATGTCTATGTCCTGAATGGTTTTGCCTAGGTTTTCTTCTAGGGTTTTTATGGTGTTAGGTCTTATACTTAAATCTTTAATCCGTTTTGAGTTAATTTTTGTATAAGGTGTAAGGAATGGGTCCAGTTTCAGCTTTCTGCACATGATTAGCCAGTTTTCCCAACACCATTTATTAAACAGGGAATCCTTTCCCCATTGCTTGTTTTTGTCAGGTGTGTCAAAAATCAGATGGTTGTAGGTGTGTGGCATTACTTCTGCGATCTCTGTTCTGTTCCATTGGTCTATATCTCTGTTTTGGTACCAGTACCATGCTGTTTTGATTACTGTAGCCTTATAGTATAGTTTAAATTCAGGTAGCATGATGCCTCCAGCTTTGTTCTTTTTGCTCAAGATTGTCTTGTCTATGTGGGCTCTTTTTTGGTTCCATATGAAGTTTTCCAGTTCTGTGAAGAAGGTCAATGGTAGCTTGATGGGGATAGCATTGAATGTATAAATTACTTTGGGTAGTATGGCCATTTTCACGATATTGTTTCTTCCTAACCATGAGCATGGAATGCTTTTCTTTCTGGGTAACTACATTTTTGTTCCTCACTTTATTGTAAATATTTTATAAAAGTCAAAAAAATCATCTCACACTAGGAATGGTATTATTGCCCTTGCTCCTCAAGTTGAGTGATTACTTACTTTTACAATTCTCTTCCAGCATGCTCATGGAGAAACATCTTGAAATTACCTAAGTTTCTCTCCTGTTCTCTTCTGAACTTGTATAAGTAGCCTCAGACATCAGAGTGGATACTAGAAACGCAAAAATCTGGGCTTTTCCAAGAACCAATAGCCTAGCAAGTGATTGAATTTCTTAGTTTTCATTTAATATTTGATGTTTTAAAGGCACATTTTCAATTTTAGAAGCAGAATTTAACTTGACACTTTTTTAAAAATTTACCTGTTCTATATTTATAGCCTGAGACTATTTATAGCCTGAGATTTATATAATATGATTCACATAACTCCATGCCAGTATTTTCAAATTTCTAATATTAAGTTATTTAATCAGTGTAGTAAATTGAAAATCATACTCAGTGATAAAAAGATGTGAAATTGTACATCTACATTTTTAAATTTCGAAATAATCTCATATGATTTTGAAAAGTAACTTTATCTTGATATAATCCACTAAATTTTATAACCTATAAAAAAGAAAAAAGAATCATGTGCTCTGTAACTAAGAACAGCAAACTTCCAAAAACATTCAAAATTTGCATGTGATCTTAAAGTCACTTTTAAAATATTTTTGAGTAGTGGCTCCTGTGTTTTTAAAAGTTGTTTTATCTAGCCACCCAGTCAGAAATCTTATCAGTACTGACTGAGCATGGTGTGTCTCAGGCCTATAGTCCTAGCACTTTGGGAGGCTGAGGCAGGCAGATCGCTTTGAGCCAGGAGTTCAAGACTAGCCTGGGCAATATGGCAAAACCCTGTCTCTACAACAAAATACGAAAACTTCCCACAACTAGTCAGGCAAGTTGGTGCGCGCCTGTAGTACCTACTACTCGGGAAGCTGAGGTGGAGGATCGTTTGAGCCCTGGAGGTCCAGCCTGAGTGACATACATAGGGGAGACCCTGTCTTGAAAAAACAATTTAAAAAAAAAAATCTTATCAGTAGTATTACACAACTACCCATATAGTGGGACTTTAAAAATATTTGTGGAGGCACTTACAAGGTACTGATATTTAATGTGCCTATTGATCTTGATGAACCTTCAGAATATAGTTAAATATTTTTAAAAAGCAATCCTGAAAGTTTGTATTCCTAGAAAATTGGTACAATTATGTATGTGGGTAGAAATATGCTCTTAATCAGAATATTCAGTTAAATAGAATACCTCTTCCCATACTGTTCTGCATAACTGAGAACTTACTGAATTTTAATAGTAATACTCCTTTGGATTTATAGATTATCTTTGAAGATGTGAAGACTTTTGTCTGTTGGTTGCTGCCAAGTAAATTCTGTTTTATGTAAACATTTTAAAATT